AGCGGCGAGAAAGTACGCCTAACATCGGCCTGGAGAGCGTCCAACTGAGGTTGCAAAGTAGTTAAAGTAGTTCTTTTGCACCGTATTTCATTACTCAGTAACTTTGATTGCCACGATCTGTACAAGGCAGTGTCGTGCAAGCAACGCTTGTAGAGCTTGAAACGTAGAAACTTAGGTATCACAGAGTGCACTTTACAACACACTAGAAAGGTTTCATCTAAGCGAACCTTCACTACTTTTCTTTCAGTAAACTCTAATTTACGAAGCAACTTTAGTCCAGTTTCGCCATAGCGTGAATGAATGTAGTTCACAATATCTCGAGGAGTTCTTCTAAGTTTAAGAATAAAGGCTAAAACTAAAAAAGTTGCATAAAACATTTTACTGAATAGAAGTCCTAGATAAACAAAACAGAACGTTTCGGGCTATGCCCATCATCAGCTAGTAAAATACATCTGGAAATACATGGAAATCAATTTTAGTAAATAAATTTAGAAAATGATAAGGAAAGAAAGGAAAAAAAAGACCACTATTGACCTAGAATCGAAAGAGGAAAAGAGCTGGATTGGTTATTCAATTTAGGTTTAAGTTATGGATGTAAAGAGACTCTAAAATTCGTAGATCGGTTTGGCTGCTTAGCAGCCAAACCGATCTTCACCAAACCGAAGAAGCAGCCGCTGCTAGCGTTACTAAAATTGATTTCCATGTATTTCCAGATGTATTTTACTAGCTGATGATGGGCATAGCCCGAAACGTTCTGTTTTGTTTATCTAGGACTTCTATTCCGTAAAATGTTTTATGCAACTTTTTTAGTTTTAGCTTTTATTCTTAAACTTAGAAGAACTCCTCGAGATATTGTGAACTACAGAACTAGTAACTACAGTACCTAACTATACAAGCTCGCTCTAAAATACTCAACACAATAAATATACAAAAATATGATTATAATCACTGCTATTTTACGAATCCGGGCAAAAAAGCATAAAATAGTCAGACACGGGAAACTTGTACCTTCCGAAGTTCCGAGTTCCGACCTGAATCAACTTCACTCAAATTTACTTCATCACGACTTCAACGAAATCAAAACAGCCCCCACGTTTATTCCCATGTTTACATTTATGTTTTACCCTAAAGTACAAGAATTATCTTATATCCAGTTTAGATTTTATGAAGTCATGACGTCGACGTTGAGGATCGAGAAATTCTTAAACTTATTTATTTCTTGGTTATTTAATAACAAAATTTATAACTGAAAAAGAAATAGTCTTGATAACGTTGGCAAATGTAATGGGAAAGGCAGATATTTTTCAGATCTTTGAACAGACCGATGGCGATTGGACTTTTGATTGGTTTGAATGAATCCTTCCTTGTGGTTTTTATTTGGTTGAAACTGGCGAAGAAGATATGAACTACATAATTAATTTGGACCGACACAGATTTTATGATGTCAGTAGGATACTCCATCTGCTCCTCCTATCATACTCCATCTGCTCTGCCATTAACTCGTAACTCCACCATTAGATTGTTTAATCATCATGTCATACATTTATAATTCTTAATTTATTTCTTCAGATTTGATCAAAAGGCTAATCTAGTCAAGAAAAATGCAAGAATCGGCGACAGGCCTATCCAGGCCTATTCTTCAATGCCGAAGATACTATACTATACTCAGAGCTGGGCAGCGCTACTTTGAAATGTAGCGGCCGCTGCCGCTACATACTTTAAATGTAGCGGGCGCTCCCGCTACCAATACAATTTCTTAAATGTAGCGCCGCTACCGCTACTGAAAATGTAGCGGCCGCTACATGTAGCGCGCTACTGCCCATCTTTAGCAACAACTAACATGTTGACACTAGAAACAGGCTGAGGTTGACAACATTACACCGAAATCTTTTGTACGGTTTTATTCTGTAATTTATATTATGTATGTATCATGCTGGTTTTTAAATAATATTTAATACTATTAAGTAAAAAACGTAACGCATACGGTTTTTTTATAGTTTTTCATTTCTCGATGCGTCCTTAAAGTGTCGGAATATACCGCGTTTACCCTAAAACATTTTACTGAATATAAGTCCTAGATAAACAAAACAGAACGTTTCGAGCTATGCCCATCATAGTGACAAAGCAGAGACTCTTTCTCACTTTCATTTTTGAGTCCTATAAGTAGACCAGTAAAGTAAAGTATCATGGTCATGGATACCACATACCAGCATTATCATACTTAAGAAATTGGTTTAAATCTTGAGTTATTGAGGAAATTAAAAATGAACCGATTCCAAAAAAGCTCTGGTTTGCCACTATGATGCCCATCATCAGCTAGTAAAATACATCTGGAAATACATGGAAATCAATTTTAGTAAATAAATTTAGAAAATGATAAGGAAAGAAAGGAAAAAATGATAATGAGAGCCTCAGCTCTTGATAAAGAGAGCCTCAGCTCTTAAAAATGAGGGTCTCTGCTCTTGATAATGAGGGCCTCAGCTCTGGATAATGAGATCCTCAGCTCTTGATAATGAGAGCCTCAGCTCTTAAAAATGAGGGTTTCTGCACTTGATAATGAGAGCACTCAACAACATGAGTAGAAATGTGAATCCAAATAAAATTAAAAGTGAGTAAATTCTAGCCCTTCATTCATATGATTTCCATGAAGCTAATCAAGGAGATCTAGAACACTGAGATCATAAGTGCCAGCTGGGTACACTTTATATAGCTCAGTCTCTCCGCCATTTTCAAGTATCTGCTGCACCCTACACTGGTGCGTAATCATTGGTTTTACCACCAAGTATCTCGCTTCACCAGAACCATAGCTTGTAGTCTTCAATCTCATGCGTTGTGCAACACTATGTACAAGCGCACGTTGGTCTTTAGAAAGTACCGATGGAAAAACAAGCTCCTCCCTTTCTGCGCAACCTGCCTCGAATTCTCGCTTGAATTTACGCAAAAGTTTCTTGATTTAAGACTTGAAAATTTGATTTGTTGCCATTTGGGAAACTGCGTCTTTGAAGCCTAGTCCTGACCGCCCGTTTCTCATGGCTGCTTCCACGGGATCAACTCGACCAGTTTCGTTTTTTCCAGGGCCACCGCCAGTCCAGCCCATGAGTTGTAGTAGGCGGCAACCCACATTGCTGCTCGAGATGGGTAGTGACAAAGAAGATGGTTCATCCTTATCTAGTTGGGGCTCTGATTCACCTGAGTTTTTACCAAATTTCTTACCAATCAAATCATCGGATTCTACATTAGTTTTACCACTGTGTTCCTTTTGAAGAAGCAACGGACAATACTTAGATATGGTCACTAGGGCATCACGTGCAAGCATCTCCAAAGCCACCCTTTTCTTTTCGTGTCTCACAAACGGCCTTCTCGCCACTTCCACGTTGTTAACGTAAGCAATATGATGCCTTACACACTTCACTTGGTAACCACAGCCATCTGATCCCTTCTTCTTTGGCATTGAATGCAAAAGCAAGGATGCAGCTCGTTCCCGTCTTCTAAAGAACTTGTATAATGGCTGACCTGCCAAAACATGTTTCAATTCAGGGTTTTCTACCTCAGGAATGGAAATGGGAACTTTATCCTCCTCCTGTGGAATTGTGATTGGAAATTCCTGATTTAATGTTATTTCAGAATTCTCCTGTGATATAAATTTTGTTTTCCATTTGTATTATTTGGGAGACATTAATGTTCATCCTTTTCAATTTCCAATTTCCTTTTCTTCTTTTTAACCTTTTTACTTTCCAGAGATGGAGATTCAACTTCAACAGCAGATTTAGAGGGATCCTCAAACTCTTCTTCCAGCTTAGCTTTCCTTTTCCTTTTTCTCTCCATAGGCTCATTTATCTCAGTACTTGGAATATTGAAAGAATCACCATTGACCGTATTTAATTTCTTGGTCTTTTTACTCTTTTTAGTCAAGGGAATGACAAGTCCTTTTGGTCGAGCAACAACTTCAACACAGTCTATATCATTTTCATTGCATTCAGTTGATGAGGATTTGTTTTTCTTCATTTTCTTTTCTTTGTGTTCTGGATTGTGAACATCATTCTTAGAGGTCTTATTCACATCTTCAATGATTTTCTGGCTCTGCTTTTCATCACAATTAGGATCTAACATTGGGATTTTTGCCTTTTTCTTCTTTTTTATTTTCTGCTCTACTTGAACCACATCAAGATCTGTTTGGCACATGTCGCTGTTCTGTTTTTTCCGTTTTTTGGTCTTCAGATTCTGTTTGGAATCATTTCCCAATGAATCATAGTTAACAGGAGCAGGATGGTCATCTTCGACTGTTGATCTGGATGTGGGTGCATCAGTTCTACGGATCTTTGCGGTTGCAGCATCCGATGCCTTGACAAAATAGCGAGAGAGTTTACCGTCTCGCTGCTGCTTGTACGAGTCTCCTATGTTCTTGCCCAGCTTCTGGACTTGCGATGCTAACTTTGATGGGTAATGGCAGCCCAAAATTTGCATATTCATGTACACCTGAAAAAATATATTTAATTTTAGGTTGTGCCAAATACCATTCTTCTGGTTTTTAATACAATTGTGAGTTAAATCAATCCACAAAGATAAGAATATATAAAAAATTTCAGACAACCTTGCCATGAGATGTAGAGAATGAGGAGATAAACATTCAGGCTTGCATGTTCACATGCACTCAAAATTTAATCAGTACCTAGCTTTTTAAAATAAAATAGACATTTTTTCAAAGCAGATCTGTTCATGCCTAGTCTACCAGACGTTTGGTTACCCAAGAATTTTAATGCAATATTGCAAAACTAAATTATGAATCAATTTTTCAAATTGGTCAAAAAAGGATTCTATAACTATTTCAAAATTTTTTACCTAGTTTTATGATATAAACAAAAGTAATTCAATAGTTAAATGTTACTAAAGCAGTTTCTAAATATCTTTCAAGACTTAATACATCTGCAGGAATAAATTTCAATTGAAGCAGTACTGCCATCTCTTATACATTAGTTAATACTAATATACCATCTATTATAGGTATATTAGTCAAAGTTTTTTTGTTGGAAGCCTGGCACTAAAAATATCATGGGGCTATTAGGACATGTATTAATATAGTATAGTATAGTATCTTCGGCATTGAAGAATAGGCCTGGATAGGCCTATTAATATATGTATTAATATATTAATATAGTATGTATTAATAATATATATATGTTATATTTCCATGTGTTTGGAGTGAGTGAAAAGTCCCATTCATACATCACGGTCGCTGTATGTCAGCTTTAACTTTTGATATAGATGTTTGATTTTTATCAATGAAAAATAACCAACGAAGCTCATTACGCTTTTTTAAGCATATTCTAGATGTGAAATTTTTTACGCTCTGATGCTGCAACTGAACGTTTTATTGGACATTTACTGGAAAAAAGGTTCAAAGACGGTTCACCAAATTAGGTTTAGTTTAGCTACTCTCCAAATCAGAGAAAAGTCGTTCATGCTCAGTAGTGCCGGTACGACCCCCAACTCGCAATACCTAGTCGTATGAGTAGTATAGTAAATAAAAAGTAATCCTATGTTTTTGCAGCCAGAAATTACCTGATGGTGATAGGGCTTAATGATGAGTAAATGTGTAAATTGCGCGAAGGAGATTGTTCGACGTGAATGTGTTTGCCGAATTGGTCTGATTTGCACAAAAAGTGGGTGTAATTATAGTGAATTAGTATTAGATGGCAGAATTTAATTGTTTATACACGTGCGATTGATGACCAGAGAATTAGATGATTTATATTATCAGGGAATTAAACTTTTCTTCAGATGACGGTAGATCAAAAGGCAAATTTCAGGAAGTAATCTTTCTTTATTAACGACGTTTCGAATGCAACAAACATTCATTTTCAAGTTAGATGAGGCATTAAATATTGACATTTTGGTGGAAATAAGTACATAATATAAGTAAATAGGATACACAGTAAAATTTTGGACCAAAAATTATTCGGAAAACTCAGAGTTCAGACAAATCCGGTAGTCAGAAAATAGGTAGCTGGAGTCCAATCTGTAGAGATGTGGTTCTTAGGTCCTCCCGCATGTGGTTCTTTGGTCCTCCTGAATTGGTTTTTTAGGTCCTCCGCATGTGGTTCTTAGGTCCTCCCGCTTGTGGTTCTTTGGTACTCCCGCATGTCTGTCTCTTATACACATCTAAATGGNGTTCTTAGGTCCTCCCGCATGTGGTTCTTAGGTCCTCCCGCATGTGGTTCTTAGGTCCTCCCGCATGTGGTTCTTAGGTCCTCCAGATTGTAGACGACATAAGAGTCGGCGTGTCCGTGGCATCTACTTCGGGCTAAGGCTGCTAAGCTGTGCGATGTTAAGGCATCATAGGAATTTTACACAAAAAGTGCAAATGCAATACAAGTTAAAAAATTTATTTGAACATATAATATTTACTGAATCATAAATCTACGGCTATTAGAAGCCTGTACGGTTATTTATTAGTTGTGCGCATGCGCGACGGCGTATTTGTTCTTTGCTTAAATGGTTCAAATTTCTCTAACTGATGATGTAAAGATGATGGCCGTGATTCGCTTTACTTTGACTTATTGACACAATGAGTGAGAGGTTTCATCTCTAGTGAAGAATACGGCTAGAAGCAAACCCGAACAAATAATATTTTATATCATATATGCTAATTATTATTCTTATATGAGAGTTACAATTGACTATAATTATACCCACTTCGACAAACACGTACACGTCGAACCATCTCTTTCGTGTAATTTGCAAATCATTGAGCCCTATCACCATCTGGTAATTTCAGTCTGCAAAGAAATAGGATTACATTTTATTCATCCTAATATAGTCATACGAATAGGTATTGCGAGTTGGGGGTCGTACCGGTACCACTGAGCATGAACGACGTTTCTCTGATTTGGAGAGTAACTAAATTAAACCTGATTTGGTGAACCGTCTTTGAACTTTTTTCCAGTAAATGTCCAATAAAACGTTCAGTTGCAGCATCGGAGCGTAAAAAATTTCACATCTAGAATATGCTTAAAAAAGCGTAATGAGCTTCGTTGGTTATTTTTCATTGATAAAAATCAAACATCTATATCAAAAGTTAAAGCTGACATACAGCGACCGTGATGTATGCATGGGACTTTTCACTCACTCACATGGAACTATCCAACAAAGCAGCAACTGTGTAATGGAATACGTTTGAATTTACCCGAAAATTTCTTGACTCTCTGAAGTGTGAAATGATTCTCGCGATATGATATGTTACCTGCTTGTTTAAATATGTTACCCCGCCACTACAATCAGTGGCCGTGTGTTCTATGATCAGGAGGAAACAGAGCATAAGTCTACGGATAACTTCAAAAAAATTCAGACCTGTATTGCTTAGACAATTCTTTTCTTCATGCGGAACGCTTTACTACAGCACCCTCCATCCTTCTAAAATTTGGAGAAAAATTTAAATTCTGTTGCAAATTATCAATTTTAAGTGTTATTTTCTTAGCGGCACAAACTAATTAGACTATTTGTTAGGTATAAACCGCACGAATAATGTACTGCCAAAAGCGTAAAGCCCTAAGTTACTGCATGAATACGATCGAAATGTAAGTAATTGATGAGGCTGGTCTTATTGTATAGATACAGTCTTGCATAACATAAAAATGGCACATAACTAATTTAGAGGATTTTGTTTATTAATAAGGTCGAGAAAAAATATCCCCAACACAAAGATGTTATCGCAAACACAGCGAGATCTAGCGGAACTGCCTGCCGTATGTTGAATGACAATTTTTTTGCATTACACTTTAAAATTAAAATTTTTTACTTTAACATCACATTAGGTTTGGTACTTGTAGATTCGTCAGTTCATTAACCGAATCTTCGATTTTACTGATATAATGATCAGCAGATAATTAAATATTATTATTTACAGGCGAACTAATATTATTTATTATAGTTTTTTGTTAATGAAAAGTGTAAATGGTGAATAATATGTATTATTACAGACCGTGGCATTATTACTCGCAGACCTGGGATGATGGCGGCCGATATAACGCGATAATTTATTCTCCCTAACCGACAAATTGATTCAATGTTGATCTGTTAAAATATATATTTAATTACGTCATTATTCTTTATGCGCTTATCGTTTGTCTCGTGTCCGGAGACATAGTCGACGTTCTTTAGCTCGATCTCGATTATTGCCTTAACCTTACTTGTGTAAAGACCTCCTGCTCAAACCGTATTACTACTCGTGTTAAATCTTGCTTATATTTACCTTAATTTGAGTTTTTACGAGTGTCTTTACATTTTATTTTGTTTCATTTAAATGCATGTTAGCACTTCTTTGTTCACTAGTTCAAGATCTTACCGTGCTGGCTTCACGCCAGTGGTTGAAACCCTTTGGGTTATTGGCTCCTTGGAGCCTCGGAGTTTAACAGAATTTTTGACACTAGCCGTTGTGCTGTGAATTAAACTGCTTGCTTGCATGCGCTTAACTCAATTTAAGTACGAGCGAACACTCCTATAACTGTTTTCACTATTTCCTTTCTTATAGTTCTCTACATGAGAACTACTGTCTAGGATTCCTCAACGGAAATAAATAGGTTAGTAATTTTGATTATCTTGAAACTGTGTTATCATTATTCTGATTTTACTTGAATCATACTGAAATCCATTGCGTTAAAACCTTGAATACATTAATTTTAGGCTTAAGTTGGTTTTCTGTCTCATTCTGATAAGAATTCACCCAATTTAACCGCCTCTACTTGGTCTTCAACTCTGCAGTTTCTGTTTATTTGAGCTGAACTACTCCTTGCTTATTACGTTCTGTTGCCACCGACAATATATTTTGAGAATTGGAGAGAGAAACATTCACCTGAAACAGTGACTCATTCAACTGAAATTAAATATTGTGTTCTAGACTTCTAACGTTCGAACTTGTACTTATGTGCGAACGTATTCTACTACAGTGTACGAGTTCCTCATCGCGCTTCTCGTTACCTCTTGGCTTCGTTCTGCGAACCAATTCTTTTTCCGGAACCACTTCGATAAAAGAATCAACGCTTTCCGTATTCTTTAAATTCCAATTTAACCAAAATTCAATAGATCTTACTCCAGAGGATAGTGTAATTATGTACGTTTACACCCAATCGACCGTAGTGAATAAGGATACCAATTAGGAACCGGTTAAATATTATCTATAATTTTTCTGCACAGTTATGACGTGCAGCGTTTGTTAAATATCAAACCAAAAACAGAGCGCGAAAGAAAAAAGATCGCGATTTAAAGCCAGACTAATTTATTCGCAGAGTACCTCGAACCCTCTATCCGCGTTAATTCTATATTAACAATCGTCCGTTCAATTTCGAATATCCTTGCACCGTGGCTCCATATGCAATTTAGATATAACAATGAATTTAATGCCGTTTACTATTCGCAAATCATTGTAATGTAGCACCGACTACAGTGCATGTACAATTACCAATGCCATTTACTGC